TGTAAGTTTTGGAGAACAATTTCATACCTTTGATTTTTTTCGTTCTCAAATCAAATATAAAATTTGAACATATTTTAATTTCAATTAAATCATGACTATTTTTTTATTTAATTATTTTTTCTTTGTTATTGATTTCCATTAAAGATTTTTTTTTACGCTCCTGAGTTTGAACTCTATACCCTATCTCAGTTTTATTTTCTTAAGCAAATACAGGGTATACAATAACTGTATTCTGTTATAACGTACGTTGTGTCTGCTTAGTTAGCATTGGTAGCTGTGTTTTTTTTTTTTTCAATATAGGGCATTTCATAGTCTGGCCGACTCATTTATTACGTTCTAATTTAATATATTGTGTGCTTGCGCTAAAAACTATGTGCGTAGTCCCAGTTATTTTGGGGTTAATTTCTACACAAACCAGGCCCGTTGAAAAATTGCTCTAAATTTGTATCTGATAAGATAGTAAGTATAAAACGAATGTAACATAAACTTAGGAATGTGTGTGTGTGTGTGTGTTTGTGTGTGTGTGTGTGTGTGTGTGTGTGTGTGTGTGTGTGTGTGTGTGTGTGTGTGTGTGTGTGTGTGTGTGTGTGTGTGTGTGTGTGTGTGTGTATGTGTGTGTGCTTGTATTGAACTGGCACTGTGACCCACATCGCCCTTATTATTGGCCCGGCCCATTCGATGGCTCAGCCTTTGACGTCACAGGGCACGTGTCGTGTTGCGGGCTTGACATGCTTGTGGCACTGTTTGGGCCACATTGCGATATGGCATATATTACGTATACGCAGCGCGGTACATTAAACATTAAGCATTATGGGCGACACTTTATGCATAGCACGAGGCGTTAAAGGTCAGCCCGCTTGTTGCTGCTGTCATCAAATTCTACGGCAATTGAAACAAAGTCGTAAAGAATAATAAAAACAATTGTTTCCCAAAAACTGTGAAGTATGTGTGTTTTTTGTGTGTCTGTGTCTATGTAAGCAAACAAACCATAACAATACAAAGACCGCACACCGTAACGAATGACACCAAACGTGCACAGAGTTGGATGAGAAACTCTGGCGGTTAGGTGAAGCCGCGCCAGAAGCGCAAAAGCGGAACGCGCATGAGCAACGCCCCTAGAAAAACAAGCAGCTGGCGCAGCAATAGAAGAAGGCCTTATGTAAATTTGATGCGTTTCTTTCCCCATCACCATCATCATGTGTGTATAATTAGACAAAACAGACGCGCTGGCATCCGAGTTAGCTCGAGTTTCCCGAGTTCTTCCGCTGCATGGGTCTCTGTAGACACAGAACGTAGACAGTACTGTCTACGGAATTATTAGCGCAATTTATAATGGCCATTAAGTATCGCACAAGTTAACTGATTTTACGTTTACTTTTGTAAACATTACTAGCTGCTCCCAGCTGATATTTACAGCCTTGCCCGTTCCAAGATTTTTGATTCAATATATTCCCCCACTTTCCGTCCGTGAAATACTGTAATCTATCAAATAAATCTTTTAATTAAAATTAATCTATTAAATCTATTTTAAACTCCACGTCTAAATTTATATTTATGCAAAGCTTGGCGTGCACCTTCATCACATGGGGAAACTAAAGTCAAGAATTTCAGCTTCCCAGCTCTTACGGCGTGGGCTGTGCGTTGATCAGTCAGTTTATCATTCAGTCAGTCTATCAGTCAGTAAGGTAGTCAGTGAGTCAATCAGTCAGTCGGTCAGTCAGCAAGTTAGTCAGGCAATCAATCAATCAGTCAGTCAGTCAATCAATCAGTCAGTCAGTCTTTCAGTAAGTCAATCAGTCAGTCAATCAATCAGTCAGTCCGTCAGTCAATCAATCAGTCTGTCTGTCAGTCAGTCAGTCAGTTAGTCTTTCCGTTAGTCAATCAGTCAGTTAATCAGTCAGTTAATCAGTGAGTCAATCAATCAGTTAGTCAGTCTATCAGTCAGTCAGTCAGTTAGTCAATCAGTTAGTCAATCAATTAGTCAGTCAGCCAGTCAGTCAATCAGTCATGTCTTCGGGTATTTGTTACGGATTTTCATTATCCAACTAATACGGTTCAAAGTTCGCTTCAAGTATCAAACAATTGTAATTCTGGGTTCTTATAGTATACATATAATATATTATCATGCAGCTGTTAATATCTCTGACCCCATAAATAAAGTACTTATTATCAGAGCATTAGCATTATCGCGTTAACGTGGCTGTAATCGCCTCGTTGAGTCACCAAATTTGATATATTGATTCTCAAACTATATACGAAATTGATAAAAATCGATTTGCAACTTCCCAACCTTTTAAGGTAAAACAATTCTAGTATGTATGCAAAGTTTAGCTACAGTTCTATTTCTGAATGTCATTAAGGTCATGTTATAAGAGTTTTTTATACATTAGAGTAATTACTGTTATTGCATATATAGGATATAGTTACAATAGAATAAAATGGCCGCTGGCCGATTTGGACCGCTGTTAAGCAGCCTAACCTGACCCAAGGAAATTTTATCTGACGCTGAGAGCACCATCTATCTAGTCTATCAATATTTTAATATATATAATTATAATAATTATAATTACATCCCGGCCTTTAGGAGTTTAAGAGGAGCTTAAGAGAAGTTATGTGAAGAATATTATTAGAATTATATTGAACTTAAGAAGTTTAAGAGGCCTCTTGTATGTTTTGGCTTCTTATAAAAGTTCCTCAATTGTTGAGATCTGCGTTTGCAGCGTGTAGGGAATATACATATATAGATCGGGTTCTAAAGTTTTCTGATCCTCTTGAAAGAAGCTGCATTGAGTCGACCTTCGATAGGTTCAGTTTCTACAGGTTATATCTTAGGGTACAATGTCCGATGAATTGGTATATCCATATTATCGAAAATAAGGAACATATTGAAACCTTTGTCAAGAATATAAAAAACAGATGTTGCCGATCAAATTCTGCATAAGTAGCCAAGTCTTATGAGACTATTAAGACGGATCGAACAAGCCCTGTTTTATCTTAGATATAAATTAACTTTAGAGTCTAAGAAATATACATTTTGATTTATAGTTCAACAAGAGAGGAAAACGTTTTAAGCATATTGAAACAAATAATTCATAGCAGCTAAGCTGCAATTATGAATAATACTATTGAATGCAATTACGCAAAGCTGACCAATTGTTAAGACAGTTGTGTGTGTGCTTGACGTGGCCTATTATAGGGCCTAATGAGAGACTACTGACACCTAAGATTGAACTCAAGGCTGAGCACAGGTCAGTTCGAGCAGCTAAGTTCAGTGGAAGCCATTTCGATATCGCGGCAAAAAGCAAAAGCGAAATAGCTGAAACAGATGCACTTTCATATGCGAAAGCAAAGTACAGCTCAAAACTGGCACAAGTGCAGCTCAGTCCGGGTGTGTGTGCGTGTGTGTGTGTCTGGAACTGCAATTAAGAAAAGGGGGAGAAAAAAAAGCAAGTGCAACCTTCAAGAAATAACAATGCAAATTGAAAAGGCGGCTGGCCAAATGGCTACAATTAAATGCTGGTTGGAATACATATTATGCAAATGCCAAAACAAGACATTGTGCGATGGGCGTGGCAGAGCACAGACACACACATACACATGCACACACAAACAGACACACTAGCACACTTGCACACGAATAGTGCAATGTCGTGTCTGCCAGCCACAACAAACAATGGGAAAGTTCACGCTCACTTTCTAATGTCAGCAGCGCGGCACGCGATGTCACTGGCTGAAAAGATTTGCGTTGCCGCAGAAGGGGCGCTAAACTACTTACCTGTGCGGTGCATGCCAAAAGGTGCGAGTTGGGAGTAGGTATGTAGTACCATGGCATCCGTAACTCTAGGGCACAAGCCAGGGGACAAGGGCGTGAAAGAGTGCTCTAGCTGGTTTTGGATTTATTTCAATTCAATTTGTTTTATTATGTGCTGGAATCGAACCGCGTCCTCTGATCTTTACCATGCGAAAGGCTATGAAAGTAGGGTATAGTCATGGCAATGACAATGAAGGGTATTTACAGCGTTGGGGTATTGACAATGAAGAGGATCGAGGACACAGCCTTACACTGTAGAATGTTCAAGTGCTATGCTTCGTTCGTAGGTGAGAGGGGTGTAACCTTTGGAGACGCCTTTCTGCAATGGGGTCAGCCAAGAGCTTGGCGACCGCTTTCGATACCACAGTAGCTTGTAGGCTGCTAAAGAAATTGATCTGATCTCTGAGCTTTGTAAGGCGGAGATCGCGTTCGGTTTTTGGGGATATAACCCGTATCCTAGGCCGAGATGCTGTCGCAAGCATTTGAATTATCCTCTATAAAAATACACACACAGCCCCATTCTGCTGTGCTTCTTCTTAACTCCCGAATAACTTCGTGACTTACAGTCCGGTCTTTATGAATTTTTCAGGACTTAAATATTGCAGTCAAATATGTGTGCATGCCTAAGCGTAAGGTTCTAACCAACAAAAATGTTAAATATCAATTTTGGGTAGAACTTAAATGCAATGGGGCAACACTGACATTACAAGTCACTTGATAAATATGTAAATATTAAACGTAAGGCTATAACTTTCATTTTGGGAGATTCGACAGACAGACGGCTAAGACTAGGAATATATATACATATATAGTTGGAGATGCTTTCTTCCGTCTGTTTTTAGCATTTGTAGAATATATGTATGCAATTCAACTATGCCGAAAATAATTTATATGGTAGCTGAATTCTTAAGTCTACAAAAATGTGGCCTTATAAATAATACAATTCTTGATGTTGTGTTGTGAAATATGTTGAAGAGGAAAATCAATGAACGATAGTTTTTAATGGCAGCTATTTTGTGTAAGAGTCGAGCGTCCAACTCGTCAACGGCTCGTGCCAAACTTCTGTCAATTCTACACACTTTTAAAGGTAAATAGGGTATGCGAAAGTCGTTAACACTTATGGTAATATGCCTGCTGGTCGAAGCAGGCTGCGACGAGTGTCCAGTTTAGGCTGAGGCACATAATATTCTATAAATTAATATATATTCAACAACAACAGACACAAGTAAACACGTGTAACTGACAATTCACAAAAATCTAAAAACTTTTTTTATTGGCTTTCGTGGTATTTGTCGCTGCAGTAGAAAGAAGGTAAATTTTTTGATGGAACTAGTTCAACTGTCAAAGGCGCCGGGCGCTTCGAGCAGCGGCGGCAAAAATGAGAAGAATTCACAATACCGCCAATTGCGCCAGCTTATAATCAAGCTATCGATGGGCGATCAGATTGTGCTCTATCGGAGCCATCAGGAGGTGCAGCAGGTTTGCGATAGCATCTGGCGGAGCACACATAAACGCTTGGACTTTCGACAGCTGGAGCAGGAGTTAAGCGGCGAACCATTGGGATATTTTCTAAACAATATGATGGATCATTTTCGTTATGTGTATTTCACAGCGGATCGCCTCCAGGAGAACCTAAATGTGCTGGAGCGTGCCGGCATCAAATCACTCAACAATGTACAGCACTGTGAGTTGCTCTTGTCCCAGGAGCCGGTGCCCAAGCAGAAGACGAAGCGACAACGTGAGGCGGGCGCTGGCGATGCTGGACTTGGACGGGTTGTTGGCATTGCTGCAGTCCTTGGCGGCTCAATGATGCCACAATGGCCGTTGCATGCCTTGCCGAAAATGTTGCGCAATTTGCGCCGCCTCAAGGTGCACTGCGAGGTGCAGGTACATTTTATTGAACAGTTTCCACAGCTCGAGCTACTGGTGCTAAATGGCGATGTTGCGCAATCGGCCCTCACCGGCATTTTGGAGCGCTGCAAACAGCTGAAGCGGCTGTTCATCAAATGCAAGAAGGCGCCACCGAATCTGCACGGCATCTCCACCTGCAACCGTTTACAGGATATTTCGTTGCCGATGACACTCTTCTTGCAGGCACGCGATCAGGTCTTGGCGCTGCCGGCATTGCATTTGCTGGAGCTAACCGTCGGCGGTCAGAAGCCCGAAATGGCCATCGAGTGTTTGCGCTACGTGCTGGAGTTAAAGGCAAACGTCATTGAGATTGTGCAAATGAACTGCGCCTGCTTTGAGGGACCATATTGGATGCGCGAGGCGGGACTCGGTCGTTGCGGACGGCTGCAGGGCCTGGTTTTGAACAATTGTTATTTTCACGATCGCGAGATAAATGAACTGAACATGCCACGAGTAGAGAACTATTTGGTATTGAGCGGCTGTCCGGATCTCAAGGAATATCAGCTGCTAGATATGATCAAGAAATGCCCGACCCTCTCGGAGCTATATTTAATCGACTGCCCGCTGCTCACTGGCAAAGTGCTGCATGGCATCTATCGTATACGATGCAGCGAGAAACTCGATTATCCCGTCAGCATTATCCTTAGCCGCTGCGATACCATAAGCAAAGATTATCAGGACACGGTCGGTACTGAACATGTTAATAATTGTCTAATAATACATATTTTAATACCCTTATAGAGGATTCCCGGGTCGAGTCCATGTAGTCATGTCCGTCTTTCTGTATCTATAGAAAGTAATTGTCGTAATTGACCGGATCGAACCACTATATCATATAACTGTCATAGGAATTATGAGTCAAAAGATATCTAGATATCATGAGCACCATAAGCATGATCTATTACAATATTATATACCTCTATGGGGACAAATCGGTTGAAAAACTAGATTAACTTTGAAAAGTGTGTCAGATATTCAAGACATCTTGCCTACGCTCAAGCTTTTTTACAAGCTTCAATACGATTGTTTCATATAGGATAAATATATAGGATAAATATAACGTATATATCTATCTATAAGGGTATTAAATCTCTTCTGTTATAATGCTCATAATGCCTATTTCTTTTTTTTTCGTTTTCAGTATGCCGATTATTGGTATTTTAAGCTTCCAGTTCTTAAGCTGGATCGCTTGCTGGAAGAGAATCGACCAATTGAAGATATGCAGTTATTCTTTTACAAGAGCATCAGTACTGAATGAATTACTTTATTTACTTACTATTTGCATGGCATAACGCCCCCCAATTAGAGATTATATGTTCCGCAAAAATATTCAAAAGTCAAAACAAAAAATATATTTATATGATTAGTGCGTCTTTATTGAAGGTAGCGCATCCTTCATGGAGTCCTCATGGAGAATCGGGCTACGGTTAATCCGACACAATTATTTCTGTTAATGGTTTTTGACGATAGTTATCTCCCTTCTTTGAAGTGTACTGATTTTTCTGTTTAAATAAAGTAGTATACAAAACCACAATGTCGTACGTTATTCGCAGACTCCCGGCCAGAACAATGTGCCCGGTATCGGCTCTACCAATTAGCGGCTCTCCAACGAAAGCAAACAAATTCCACATCAATGCCAAGTAATTGTTTTATATACTTAGTATCTTGTGTTTTGTTTGCATTCGGTTCGCGTGTCTTCTCCACCAAGATGAACAATAACAATTAACTCGTTTTATTATTTTGCGCACAACTTGTTTTTCGCATTTCCCAGGCAGATTTCTACATTTGTGGTGTGAGCGGAACTGCGGGTGTGTTGTCTGTAGTTGCAGGCGGCAAATGTGGGTATGTGATTTGACATTTCACTTACTTTTAACAAACAACTCGATTTTACTGCATGCAAATCGGAAAGTTTTGGGCCAGAGAGCACAGCGAAATCGATGTCGCCGGATTTCACTTAACAGCGCAGAACAAAATGGCCGTAACGGGAAACACTGGCAAGGATTACAGTGCCTGCAACTCAATGCACCTGGCCGTATCAATAATGACTATCCAAAGCCTTATCGTTCTATCCAAATGTGGTTTTTTTTATGAAAAATAACATTTGAGTCAAGCGACTCTATGTGTGCCAGGATAAGTCGAAACTCATGGTTCGAAGTCCAGGCTTTATTTGGATAAAGTTTATATATTGTATCTATAGACACTTGCCGAAACAGTGCGATTTTAAATTTAATATTAACGCCGATTATTCCTATGCAAGCTTTTGGCTTGCGTTAGTCAAAAGTTTTCGATAAGCAGATACCATGTACTTAGTTATAAGCTGCCTTATAAAACATTCCAACATCTTCTCGAGCCCCACATGAAGGCATTCTTAAAGAACTTCGGTGCCTCTAGTCCGATCTTTTCTTTACATTTTCAGTGCTTTAATATGAAGTATTAAATGCGAGCAAACACGTGATGGGGAGAAGATAACAAGAAGCGTAAAGTAGTTCCAGATCTCTATATCCAACTCTTCTAATCTCCAATGCTATGCAAACACTGGGAGATATCGAATACAAAGATAGATATATGAATTAAGCCATTTATCAAAATCGATACTTATCGATATTATGAAAATGAAAGAAGATATCGAATGAGAATCATTAGCACATGCGAATATATTTATATACAATTTCAAGTCTCTTGCTCTTAAGGTTTTCGAGACGACGTGTTCCAATGGACGGATATGGCCAGATAGACTCTGCTTGTCGTCCTGATCAAGTACATATACGAAATTCATACTTTATGATATTGTAAATGCATTCTTCTAATAAAACTGTTATACAATTTTACCCCATTTGTTATAAGTAGTTGTATTTGGAGTTGTTAAAAGCGTAATTGGACTGAGATTGGTGAAGATATGAAAGATAAAATTGAACATGCAAGAATTGAGTTTCGACCAATATTTCCATTGCTTTCTTTGCGCGATTTCGTGTGTTGCCAGGTATTCGTCAGCATTTGTGCCAGAAATTCGTCTTGTCTGTCTGCGCGTTGTGTTCGTAATATTTGGTAACATTAGAAAACGAAATTTTGCGCCAAACAAATGACACTGACAATAGATTTGCGATTTGTATTTGTTGTTCGGTACGTACTTCTTTCACTTTTTATTTTTTTTCGCTTTGTATTGGCACTTTTCTTTATTATTTTTTTGAACGCTTAACAAATGCGAAAGTGAAATTATTTAGCTGGAAATGTTTTTCAATTAAAGGAACAAAATATGACTGCGACAGGTGACGGCAATACTCAAGAAATTAATTTTAAATTGTGTTTCATTTTCGATGGTTGTTAAAAGCACCTTTTAGATGCTCTACGAATTGTCGGGGGACAGCAGCTGATATTTATTCGATTACCGACTTTTTTTTAATTCATTGCCTAATTTTGCTTCATCTTAAAAATTTTAATGTTTTGTTAATGCTTGTCTCAGAATTTATTGATTTTAGTGAAGCGTTAATTTTTTAGATTTATTTGCAACTGGTGTTCATTTTTTAAGGGGTTCATCTTGATTTATATTTTATCTTTAATACATCAGTTACATATATTTTAAGTGAATCCAAATTTTGTAATATTCTATTTTCTATTATATGTTCATTTTGGGGTTCATTTGCAACTCATGTTCATTTTGTATGGGGTTCATTTTGGTCCTTATTTTATTGGCTTTAATGTATATGGTGTATTATAACAATATGTCTGATCTATCATATGATTTTGATGGAGCTGTGTTTTTTCAAAATATATTTATTATTTAGTGTTAATTTTCAGGTTCATTTGCCATTGGTGTTCATTTTGTTAAGTGTTGGTTTTTATTCATTGTTTTGGTCCTTATTTTTAGCATATATATCAATTGTGTGATCTGTCAAATCTGTTTGATGTAGATAGATTTTAAAATATTCTATTTTTATTATATGTTCATTTTGGGATTAATTTACAACCGATGTTCATTTTGTAACGTGTAGATGTAAATGTTGGTCCTTATTTTATTATTTTCAATGTATTTATTTTATGAATGTGATATCTTTTTGATGGATCTAGTCGTTTTTTTCTATTAAATGTTCATTTTTAGATTCATTTGCACCTGGTGTTCATTTCGTTCATGTTGGTCCTTATTTTATTGGTTATATTGTATATAGTTAATTTATGTGTGATCTCTCATGACTTTTTGATGGAGTTATTTTTTGAAATTATTTTTTTTTTATTGGATGTTCTTTTGGTTTCATTTGCACTTGGATGTCAGGCTTATTGCAATTCTGGCTTTACCAATTCGATGCATAGCTATACTCAGAATCTAGGACGATCTGTCAATTCTTATCAAAGCTGTCTTGATGTTCATCTGTTAACATTAGCCCTAGAGTTCACTTGCTTCTATTGGCTGCTGGCCCTTCTTCAGTTTACCCCACTCGGAAAACACCATCGGCTTATAATTCCCATTTTGATCCAGAGCCATTATTGTTGAACCAACATCGATGTAGTTGTTAGTTTTTGCTTGTTTTACCGGGTTGCGCTTTTTGCGCACTGTCTGCCCACGGGGCACCTCGACTATATACGGTGGAGCGCATGGCATCGACATGGGCACAGATTTGGGGCTGCCAAAGAGTGGCGGATCAATGTAGTGAAATCTCATGGTGCCATACGGCAGCGGTATTGGGGCTGGCACCAGACGAAGCCCGGCGTTATGTAGCTTTTCGTGCTCCTCGTACAGATCCTCCACAATGGGCAGTAGAGCATCGGCCAGCGGCACATTCTCCTGCATGATGGCCGCCTGCAGGCGCAGCTGCTGATGTGTGGTTAGCATATACGTTGGCGATATTTCCGCATCCATGACCACTCTGCCCGGCTCCTGGGACTGGCCCTCATCGACTTCTAGCTGCATCAAGCTGTAGCTCTGGAAGGCCACATTCAATGAGCTGCGCTTTAAGGGTGCAGCCCGTGCATAGCTCAACGGAACCACCTCAATGCTGTCCATGTTGTTTGGGTTGACATTGTTGTTGTTGTCCTTGGGTATCACCTGAATGGTCGTGCTGGGCCCCATGCCGGGAGCGGGTAGATGATGCTCGGGAAATCTAAAGAAATCCATGGCATTCATCAGGGACGGCATGTCTGGAGTACTATTTCTGATGTTAGGCAACACGCCTGCCGGCAACTCCATGGTCACGTGTGTGACTCCCGGTATGGCACGCACATCGACCAGCTCCCTGGGCTGTGGCACGGTTAGGCCAGTGTACATCATCTCAATGGTGGTGCCGTGCTTATGGACACGATTGCTGAGCGCGTACCACTGATTTGCGGAGCCCGGCAGTGGTCCTTTCTTGGGAGGATAGGAGCACAAATGATAAAATGGATATCCTTTGTTACTGCTATTTCCACTGGCTGCTTACCTGACGCCGTTTCTTGGTTTCATTTTTTACATTTTGTTGTTGCTGCTGCTGTTGTTGTTGTTGTTGTTGTGACTGTGGTTGACTCTGGTCCTGGCGACGTGGCTGCTGTTGCGGCTGCTTGCATTTTATCAGCGGCACCGGATTGTTTTTGGTTTGCTTTTGGTTGCGACTCCATGGAACTTCGGGCACCTCAGCGATTGGCGGCAGAGACGGCACTGCCACATTTCTTGCGGTATTTCCATTGCTATTCTGTTTTCTCTGCTGCACATTCATATTCAGAGCTGATGGACGAGAGTGCTCGTTGTTCTGGTTCCTGTTGGCTCCACTTGGGGTGGCTGGCTTCTTGCCACTGCAAATATTGCCGGCGGCTAACATGCTTGCTGCACTTCTTTTTTTCTTCTCAGTTTTACAAAATAGCTTAATTTATTTGCCTGAAGTTTTGAACAGTTTGAGCTGTCAACACGAAATAAGCGCAGGGAGGCTCACATTTGACAGTTCATTTCAATGGCAAAGCCTACTGCAATTAATGCCGTGCTTGGCGAATTAACAGCTCCAAAACATAGTTAACAGCGACTAAACATTGCCCAATCATCGAATCGCTTAAACCTGAGTTAATTTTCCAGCTACACTTCTCCCAGTTAACTGCGTCTAGCAGAAACTCCCTTTAGTTAGCGAAGTTTCTTTGTAAACTTTATACCCTACCCATATATACTATAATATGTACTCATACATTTTATAAAAAGGATCAAGCGAAGCTATTTTTCTGCTTTTATAGCAGGCCAAAATATATTACATTTTCAATTACTCATGTTTATGAGCAGGAATATGTGTCCGTATAAGCTTAGACCTGATTTAAGGGCATTTGCTAGTCGTTCACTCTGCTGGGCGAGTTGTTGATTTGTTTCCGAAGTTGTGAGAATATAAATTTTTCATACTTTTATGCAATTGCAGTCGTTGCCGTTTTTTGCATTGCCTGAAACTGACTGCGACTGGCAACAATGGCAAAGGTCTGAATGGGCGCCGACTTATTTCGCAATTGAACTTATGGGTATTCAGCGGCGGCTTTTCCTACTGTTATTGTTATGGGTATGATTGTGGGTCTGTCTATTGTCTTGCGTTTGAGGATTTGTAACTTGCGGATGTGCCACACCCCCAAACAAACTCGTAACATGTTTATGTACTCACAGATTCGCTCCTGCGTTGCCACCGGCCGGAACTATATATATGTTGTGCTGCCTTTTCTTTTTTTTGGATGCTGCAAATTGGGCTTCCGGGTGCGTTTTCACAACTGAAAGGACACAGAAAGATGTTTGCATAAGTTAAAATATATACATATATAAGCAATGTTTGGGTTATGAAACGATTTAGATCTTTGCCTCGATATCGACTTGGACACACTCGGCTAAGCCGGCACTCGAGTGGAGCAGCACGGCATGGTGTTTAAGGCTTAGCCGCGACTCCAAATAGAATAATTAAGTGTATTATTTTTGCTACTTTTTGGGTAATTCTGAACTAGTGCGTGGCGTACTTGGGCAGCTTTAGCTTATCATTGCCAACGCTCATTGTTTGAGATGAGCGCAGCTCGCATAAAGAGCCCATCAACTTGAACAATTAACAACAAAAAAAAAAACTCTGCCTCTGACTGCAGTGTACATAACGCATAACGTTTGTCGTATGCTTAATTATGCATACGCAGCATTGGATGGCAGTCTAAAAAAGTATACCCTACAGCATTTAAAAAGATGGGATGTTGTTACTAATGGGCAATAGACGCAACTATAAGAGAGTTAACCAATTAAAATGAACTCAAAGCGCGTAATAAAATGATGTAACGGCCAGAAGAGATATCTTCGACTCCACAAAATATAGGTTATTATAATTAAATATTTAATGAAAACATTCAATCGAAGCGCGTTATGGGGTATGGGTAAGGAGAGCAGAGCTACAAAGCGGCTCAGAGCCGATCCGGTTCGAGCTCGGAACTACACCTTTTTTTAACATGAACAAACCTTGTCTGAAATAGAGCCGAGCAAAATTGGCTAGCTTCGGTTCGAGAACTACAAATTCTATTTTTTCATGATCCAAAACTTGAACCAAGCAATTGCCCAAAAAAGAGCCGAACCGAACCATATTTTTGCAAAATAACTCAAAATAGTTCATAATATAAAACGTTTCAGAAATGCCCAGACCCCGTCCGTAAATATCTTGCTATTTCTTAACACATATTTGGTAGATGTCATTTTTATGTAGAGATCAAACTCAGCGCGCAGCTTGCATATGAAAATATGAATAATTGCAAAATGTTTAGTAGTATACTTATAAAGAATAACAAATATAAGTATTTTTTAATATATTGAGAGTATATGAACTCAACAAGGTTTCAATCAAAACCTGGGGTTCATGGAAATGCAAAACCAGTTGCACGAACTGAACCCAAAGGCAAAGCGGGTCAAAATTTGTTGTTCCTTTACGACAGCCTTCTTTGTTTACTAGTCTCAATATGCTAACTAACATTTCGTTTAATCTTAGAATCAAATTATATTTAGCTGCCACAGAAACAATCGCTGTAAACTAGACCTTCGTCAATAATATTGAACAATGAATAATTTTTTCTTAACTTAAATAGCCGTCAATCTCCGTCTCTCTGAGCTTAATTTCATCAGTAAGCCAGTAATCAATAATCCAATATTCCACTTAGGCTGTAGCCCACTCAAAGCTGCTACTAGAATTATTTGCAGTGTATCTGGGCAATTGTTGTTGCCATCTGATTGCCAAAGCGGTAGATCAATGAAATTGCATCAGTTGCCAGGTGCTAATACGGCATATGCATATTCGTGCAATTTAAATACAAACGTTCAACTGGTTTACTTTTATGGGCCTGAGCTGATTTACATGCCAAGCTGTCGAGCTAATGCTGGAAGCTAAAATTAGGCGGTAATTTGGCGGATGCATCAATGGAGAGTCGAAATCTAAAACGCAATTCAAAAAATGGGTTGGGCAATAACGTTGCGGTGAGAACTCGACAGCCGCGCCCAAAAAAATAAAAATAAATAAAACTGACTGAAATGGTGTATATGTATGCGTATATTTAAATGTATTTAAACAAATCTTATTTACCTATATGGCAAAACGCGAATGACTTTTTTGGGCAGCTCAAATCGTTGGGAAAGTAAACATGCACAGCGACAACCACAACGGCTCAAGTTGACCAATTTTGGTGGCGCTTCTCACTAACAGCGCCACAACATGCAAAACTAAATGCCGCACAGTGTTGGGCAGAAGTCTAGGTACGGTATTTTTTAGAAATTTCATAAGCTTAACTAAAAAGTGGGAAACGGGAACGCTTAATTTGTGGGCTAAATAGAAACAGTTTTCATTTAATATAAAAGAACTTCAAGGTAACAAATTGAAAAGTTATTTAATAACTATTGATAAACTATTAATAACTGGCCGGCAATAAACAACTAGGCATAAAGAGCAAAAAAATGTTGTTTGTGCAGCTTTTTCACGAACCACCCGGTTCTATTAAGAGTAGATTTTACTCTAGAATCGCCAACACCTTGTCCTCCTTTTGAAGCTTAAACATATTGGGAATTGCAAGCGTCAACCAAAAAAGCAAAGCAAGCATATTCTAGTGCTTTAGCATCTAAACCGTATAAACTAAACCAAACATTGAAACATATTTCTTTTTTTCATACATTAAAGTAAATACCGGATAAATTGTCCAACATTAGGTTACAACTCTAATAAAAGCTAGTCCAATAATAGCCCTGGAAAAGGGTTTTAATGTACAGCGCCACATAAAGCACTTCATTAATTGCACTTCGTCGTACTACACTACCCAAAAACGCTTAAACACAGCGCTGTATGTAGATTTCTGCCCAACACTGTAGCTTGCTGAGACACTCATAAATACAGATAAGTGTGCTTGTGTGAGTGTGGTGCGTGCTTAGAATTAAAAGGTAGTCTACACCCGCAACGTCAGCGTCGACATTCAACGAGGTCGCCTAATTGACGGCAGTTGATTAAACCGACTAACTGACACACTTTTCGAGCGGAATTGATAAGCCCATAAGGTAAGCTACACATATACAATATCAGGGAAAATCGGAGAATTGTGTTAGGCATTGAAAGCATTTGCACATTTGCAGCACGTTCAACGGCCTGCAGCGAGCACTTTGTGGCTACTTAGAGAAACGGCAAACGCCCGAACATCAGTCAAGTTGATTGCGGCGACTGGCAAATGGAGTCATTAAGCGTCTCGAATGTCATTACCACTTAATTGTTTTGTATCGTTCGTTGTTGGCAAATGATTTGCAGAGTTTGCGTTCGTTCAACTTCCAGCAGCAACAACAGCAGCCCGAACAGCATTTTCAGTTGGCTGTTTACATTTTGCAGGCCACACGCTAATGAAGCCTGCGCATCCGAATTACCAATATGCGAACAGGCAAATTCCAAGACAAACTGCCAACACGAAATGCAAAAAAACATAAAACTGAAAATGTTCAACTAAGCATGTGCAAATGATGATGATGACCGAAGAGCATTTGGATTTGAATTTGAAATTGGACAACGACAACGACTTCCACATTTTGCTAATCACATTTGCCAAATAATTTTAATAACGCTAATTAAGTGCTTAAGAGCTTAAGCTCAGGCACAGGCAATCCCACAAATGGACAGACAACAGCAAGTTATGTAATTTGCTTATTATTGCATTTGCAATCCAACAACTCACAGCACGCCCAAAGCCTGAACGAGCGCTGGCCAGAACATTGCAGTCGAGTGTGAACGACTATCAAATACCCAAACCCTAAATGCATCTAATTTGCGTGTTGTCTGCAGGGAAAGTGAATTGAGCTTGCAAAGTGTTGTACAACACTGTGTGCTATCAATACTAAGTGTATTAAAACGGAAATGACATCAAGTGTTTTTCTTTCTACGTAATTGTCATTTCTGGTGTTAGTTAGTCTCGGAAACGTGGACATTATCTGCTTAATGTCTAAATTGTTAGAGAATTCAATTTGCAAACGTATTGTACAACACTGCGTACTGTCTGTACTGTTGTCTGTTGTCATTTCTGATGTAAAGAAAGTTTCGGAAATGTCAAAATAATTTGCGTCAAGTCTTAATTGCTTACGAATTCAATTCACAAAAGCTCTCTCTACTAAAGACTATTGTATGTAAATGTCTTTTGCAACACTCAAACTCAAAGCGGAAATGAAATCAAGTTGACTTTTTTAAGAATTGCTATTTCTTGTGTTTCGAAGAGGTCAAAATTTTCAGCGTGAAGTCAAAAAGTTTGTGAACTTCCGCTAGTGTTGCATAGTGTGCAATCACTCCTCAACACTATTATTTTTAAAACGTTTTTGTGCACTTCAATTTAAACAGCGTTGTGGCAAGCAAATGTGTTTTATGAAATTTCTGCTTAAATATATTTGTTATTTTTCTTCTAAATATATTGCAATTC